CGCCCTATAACAAAAACCTCTAAAAAAAAAAAAAAAAAAAAAAAAAAAGGGTCCTGGCCTAGATTCTTCTAAGCTGAGGACCTTCTCTCTCTCATTCTCTCTCTCTTTTTTTTTTTTTTTTGCTCTCCTCGGTTTCGGACAATCTCTTGACCAGTGTCCTTTTTTATCACAATGTTTGTATTGGTCTTCAGCTACTGAGGGTCATGCATGACCGCTTTCTTTTAATCTCTGGCCGTGTTTTGTTGCACCTTTAGGTCGTTTTAGATCGTTTTGGTTGTTGTTGATCTCTCTCTCTCAGTCCTAATGTAGCTTTTTTAGTCTCTGCACTTATTTTGTCTCTCTCCTCAGACATGAAGAGAGTAACCAGGAGCTGCTGGCAAAGATCGCTGGTTGAGAAAGGGACATAAACAAAGAAAGGACGGACCCTGGGATGTCTTTCTGGAGGAGAGGCCTCCCTTAGGGGCAGGAGTGCGCCAGCGTGGTGGAGTTTACTTCCCCTCTCTCCCCCATCTCTCCCATCTCCCCCACCTCCTGGGATCTGCTTCCGTATGTGTTGGTGAGAAGAGGGCCAAGGGAGCAGCTCCAGCTTCACCCTGATTTTTATCTTCCTTCCCCAGGTGTTGTCTATTTGGGTTATGGGGGCTGGGGGGTAAAGGTTTGACTCTTTTGGGGTTGACTGAAAAACTGACTTTAACTCCTTGTTTGGCACAAGGCTATAGGGCCCATTATTAGAATGTGGTTTCTTGTCTTTAGGAACAATTTTGTAACCAGGATGGAGGGTTTTTCACAAGGGCCAGTCATTGATTGATATTCTATTTTAAATATCATATTGATATATAATATACTGATATGTTTCATAGAATATATTGTAAAATATTCTATTTTACAAAGAGTCTTTAGTTTACTTTTTGATAATTTTGTTCCATAGTCTTCTCCTTTAAAGGCCTTTCTGAAATGCTTAAGCATACATTCAGTGGGGTTTTAATGGAACTAGTTTGACCACCCATGGTTAAACAACTCCGGTTTAGGAAGGCAGGTAGGGCTTTGGAGCATGTGCCTGTTCCCTGCTGCTGTTTCCATCTGGAGGCTCCTTCAGCCCTGTCTGGCTGGCTGCTGCTACAGCCTAGAGCTGTGTGCAGAGCGGTCCAAGCAGAGCTGAGCAGTGCAAGCACATGCAGGCTGCTGTGAGCCTCCCCTTTCCCACCCCGAAAGCGAAAGCGGGTGCACTCCCCCTGCCTCGCCCATAGGCTCCAGGCGAATTATGTTGGGCTTTTAACAAGTTAGAAATACCACAGTGTAATGGTAATGAAAACCCCACTGATTCCCAAGTAAACTAAAACTAAGAGGAACCTTAAGAACCTACTCTGGTCACGAGGTGCCCCTGATGTTAGTCCCAGGCAAACAAAAGGGCTAATCTTTTGGGAAGTACAGTGACAAGGGGTTCAGGGTATGCAGCCCTAGGAACCTTGGGTGTGACCTCCAAGATTCCCTGGGGGGCCGTCTGATCTCCTGTCACAGCCTGGAGGACAGGGCTGTGAGAGCATGTGAGTGGCTGCACCAAGGAGAAGAATTCTGTGTGTGTGTGTGTGTGTGTGTGTAGGGGGGGGGTAAAACTGCCACTGCAAAGATCTCCAATTGTCAATTGTTTTTAACACCCAGGCAGCTCGGTCTGAGCTGATGGATGAGATGGCTGATACTGAGGTCAAAAACAGTTCAGGGCCCCGGAATGGACTGTCTGGGTTTCTGTTCTAAATGCTTCTTTATGGGCGTTGCCTTGGAATCAGCTTCTCTGCATGTTCTTGTAAGGGTTAAAACAGCACATCTTAGCTTTAGATCCCTAAAGCAATGACACTTTGCAAAATTTGCTCTAAATTGGCAGTGCTCCTTCCGAGCAACAGACAAAGGACAGGAAGATGAAAAAAGAAATGGATGATAAGTAGGAGTCCATGTTTGGGACCTAATGTAGGGGGGGGGTAAAACTGCCACTGCAAAGATCTCCAATTGTCAATTGTTTTTAACACCCAGGCAGCTCGGTCTGAGCTGATGGATGAGATGGCTGATACTGAGGTCAAAAACAGTTCAGGGCCCCGGAATGGACTGTCTGGGTTTCTGTTCTAAATGCTTCTTTATGGGCGTTGCCTTGGAATCAGCTTCTCTGCATGTTCTTGTAAGGGTTAAAACAGCACATCTTAGCTTTAGATCCCTAAAGCAATGACACTTTGCAAAATTTGCTCTAAATTGGCAGTGCTCCTTCCGAGCAACAGACAAAGGACAGGAAGATGAAAAAAGAAATGGATGATAAGTAGGAGTCCATGTTTGGGACCTAACCAAGATAGGGGTACATTTTCTGAACAGCCGAACCAAGAGTGCTGACAGCAGAGGCAATTTTCTGACCCACGAGAGAGATGAGCGAAGTAAGCCTTTGTGTCTTCGTTCAGGGAAGTTTCCTGGACTTGCTCAGGAAGGAAGTGCCCAGAGCACAAGGGCAGAGGGGCCTTCCTGACAAAAGAATCAAGTATCTCCATGTTTTCCTCCCTGCAATGATGCTGCAAGACAAACAAAGGGGAGGAGTCTCCTCCAAAGAGTTGACCGAAGGGGTCTGCCTGGCCATGCGGGAAATTTGGTGCCTCTTAGCATTGGCTGCCTGGTACCAGTCCCCAGGACTGGACTCACAGGGAGGGATGGAATCCCCCAGTGTCCAGTGCAACCCTAAGCTGTATGAGGACACCACAGAACCACAGGTGAGGACCCCCTCAGACCCCCTCAGCCGTAGCTGAAGCCGTGGAGCCGCGAACACTGTCACACAGTCACTCATTAGCCATTTACACAGTGGTTAAAAACATTTTTCCCACCAAGAAATATTCCTTAAAGTGATGGTACAGACAGAGAGGACTAATAAGAGAGAGAAATCCTAAGAGCTAAGAGGGATTTGAAACCTCAGTCTAGCAACCTAGACCACTAGGCTTCTACCTAGCTCCTGAGTCTTGCAACATCTTGGTGGAATCTGAGGTTCCTTCAGTTGTGTCCCGTTGGCCCTGAAATTACCACTAGGCATCCTGCTTAGTCGTACTCATCAGGGAACATCTCCCGTGCCAGCCTTATACTCGCTAGTTAACCGGTCTTCATCAGAAAGAGTAAAGAGAAACAGAGGAGAAAAGACTCCTGAGGTTTTCTTACCAAGACCCCATGGTTAGGAGTAGTCAGTGTCCCCTGTTTGGCCGTCTAAGACCCAGAAAGGTGTCTCTAGGACCATGGAACATTTCAGGTGGTGCCTCCCCCAGAGTACCCTGAGTGTTGGGCCGTCAGGCAGGAAAGGCCCCCCTCCATGGATGCCTCACCCAGGTAACAGGAGGTGCATCTCGCTGGGCCCTCCAAATATCCTATTTAAATCAACATGAGAATAGAGGACATCTTCTAAAAAAGAAAACATTCCAGTTTTCTTTTTTAAAGATTTATTTTTTTATTTATTCATTCATTCATTTTAGTTTGACCAGAGAGAGACACAGAGAGAGAGAGAGAGGAAAGTGAGAAAGCAAGCCACCAAGTCCAGGACTTGAACCATGGTCGGCCATGTGGGAGTGTCCAGTGCCTTAACCACCACGCCACCTGCTGGTCCCGAGGACATCCAGTTTTAGCCAAATTAAAGGAGAGCCTTTATTAAGCTAGTGGCTGCAGGAGGACCCAAGTCACTCTAAAACCCCACAGCCCCAAAGTGGAGGGGAGGAAGTTCTATAAAGGCAAAAACCACAAAGGCAAAGAAAAACATAAACGAAAGAAACTGTAAGCCTTGAGTCATGCGAGAGCCATTGACAAAAGCTGAAAAAACAGTTATCAGGAAGGACAATTAAGGATGACAGTGTCTGTCTGTCAGTGACAAGCATTCAGTGAGAAATGTTTAGGAGGCACATAAGTCTGGTCAGGTCACAGGGAAGGGGAAATGGCTTCAAAATGGAGATGCTCACGCTTCACAGGAAACTTCTCACTTTATCCCTAGCTGTCTGGTGCTTCTGCTTGTCCTGACAAGTATAATCTCTGGCTAGCCGGCTATGGTATGATGTGGAGCTGGACTAGCAATCATAGCCCGAAGCAACGCTGCCCCAGCTGCCCTGCAGGCTTGCAAGTGAGAAGTAAATGTTTACTGTCTGACGGCACTTGGGTTTTAAAATTACTGTGGGGCAATAGCTGACTGATCCTAATGACAAGCAAAGAAGAAAGGTCTGGAGAGAACTCAGGATGGGAACATCAGATGGCATAATGGTTATGTTGCTGGACTCCCACATAGTCGACCGCAGTTCAAGTCTTGAACCTGACAGGTTAAAACTCATGCGTATATGTGTCCAAGATCCTGAGAGGAGAATGGAGGAGAAGGGATTGGGGAGTAGCCACCCCCCCCACCCCGCCGGGGGATGATTTCTTGCTTTCTATCTCTCTGGTGAGCGCATGTACCCTATAGCAAAAATATCTCTAAAAAATAAAGAATTCAGGATGTTCAGAGACAGATGAGAGACGCCTTGGCTCATTAAAATGTACATTAAAAGCCTTTTTTGGTAACTGTTATCCTATTTCGTCTCCAAAGTTTTCCACTGTATGTATGTTTCATAATTTATGGTAATTTTCACCAACCACTCTTCAGGACATGACTTTTAATTTTTTACTGCGGTGACCAGCTCTGCAATGAATAGTTTGGTACCTACCTTTTGACTAACATTTGACTTATTAGTTCCTTATGTCGCATCCCTAGACTCAGCACTGCTCAGTCTAAGGAAATGCATGCTTTTCCCTTTACAGTGGTGCTCTCAGATTTTCTGTCATCATTAGCATCATCACTGCATACACTGCATACACTCAAACATGCTTGATCTGCATTTCGTAATTGAATCCTCACAATAACCCATGAATAGACACCATTATCTCCATTTTACAGATGAGAAGACTAATCAAAGAGGAGGTTAGCAAATACTCCAAAATGATAAAAAGTAAAAAAAGGATCCAAAAACAGGTCATTTGATTTCCATTACATTCTAACCCATAAAGCATAACAGTGCCCACCCACATGTATATAACAGCCCATTCCTCACATTGCCTTCTTTGGAGTAAAGCAATTGCTTCGTTGAAAAATAAATGGCCCTTGAGCTGGCAACAGAGCTCAGCAGTTAAAGAAGCCAGTTCCCACACGGCCAACTGTGGTTTGAATCCCGGTCCAAAATTCCAACAGGATGGAGAAATGGGAGAGGAGTGCAGCGTGACCACGCCCTCTTGGTCTTTGCCTCTTCCCTCCCTCAGACAAGTGCATGAACACTCTTTGAATTAAAATAATAATAATAAGCAAACGTTTGTGTTTTAGTCATCAGGATAATAACACAAAGGAGTAAATATTGTTGTGGAGGAAGAATGTAAGACCTATGACATGGGGTCCAGCCAGTGGCATAGTGGTTAAGGCGCTGGACTCCCATGTGGTTGACTACAGTTCAAGTCCCAGACCCGGCGGCTTGCTTTCTCATTTTCCCTCCCTCCCTCTTTCTCTCTCTCCAGTGAGTACATGTGCCCTATAGCAAATTTTAAAATAATAATAATAAATTAAATTAAATGATTTTTAAAAATACCTATGACCTGAAAGAATAAGATACACTTGTTCCAGTAAGTATCACAGTTTTCAAATGTTGAGGAAATAGCAAGTGATGCAGGTTTGAATCTATATAAGAAGAACAAGAAAATGGGACAGCTTGTAACTAAGGCAGACAAAGTATTTCCAGTACTTAATAATCCATAAAAACTGTGACATTCCCAAG